CAGTTAGTGTCCTCTCCCCAACTGTCAGCACAGGCTGCAGGAATCCTGCTGCAGACCTCTCCAGAGCCTGTACTGTCAGGGGAACAGTGGCTTCCAGGGAGTCTCCGCAGGTATTGTGCAAGGTCCTCCTGGTTTACAGCTTCCAAGCGGCTCTCATGACCCCAGTCCACAGGACCTCTGACTCCTCGGGCTTAGTCTGCATTCTCATGTTCTCTGAGTCCTTGTACATCAGCTGCTCCTCCGCTGACTCTGGACCTTTCTGGTTCTCAATGGCAGGAGCAAGAGTGACCCGTTGTATGGTATGTATTCCCAGGGGTTTCTCCATGTTTGAATGATTCACACACGTCCTATATGTATCTCTTTATGTTTTGTCCAGGAAATCTTTGTCTCTACTCTCAGTTGCATAAATATTCTCCTATTTTTCTCCTAGGAGCATTATAGCTTTCACTTTCACATTTGTGTATAAGAACAAATATTATCCTCATCAAAATTCCAGTATCATTCTTCACAGAAATAGGAAAAACCCTAAAATTCATAAAGAATCATAAAAGACCTTGAATTTTGAGAGCAAAGAACAAAGCTGGAAGCCCCATATTACCTAATTTCAAAATCTATTACAAAGCTATAATAGTCAAAACAGCATGGAAGGGATGTCACACTGACAATGGAACAAGATGGACAGCACAGAAATAAAGCAGTGCATTTATGGTCAGCTGATTTCCAACAAAGGTGGCTCAATTTCTTTTTGTTACAGCTATCCATGTGGTTCTGACACCCTTTCCTGGAAAAGACTTTATTTTATGAGAAACAAAAAAAAGTGCCCTCATCTTTTTATTGACTGTACCTCTTTCCTTTCCAAGCCAGCTACTCCCCAATAACTTCATGGTGGTCACACAGGAATCCCCACATTTGAGATGGTTTGGGCAGGACCTCGTTTCTAGTGATGTCACAGCAATGGTGTGAAGAAAGGCATAAGGGCATTGGGAGTTAAACTGCATTCAGCTGTCTATTCCCACTTCCCCAAAATGAAACCGTCTTGGCCTGGCAGGTGTGTGGCTGTGCACGAAGGCTCCAATTGCGTGTGGTGAATGGTGCCCATGAAGGTGGCAGCAACAGGCTGCGCATCAGCACCCCAGGCATATCAAGCAGTGTTGGGGCCTGGCAGTGTCCAGAGGGCAGGAACCAGGGCAGGCACCGCTGCAGTGTCCCAACCTGCACCTTAGTGACACACCCACCTGCCAGGACTTGGGCTCTCTTACACCCCAGGACAAGCCCGTGTGGCCTGAGGGACCTGTGCTCAGGCTGGGAGCTCCCTGAGGAAGGAAGCTGCACCCGACCTGGTACGTGGCAGTGTGGGTTGAAGTGGGTTGGGTGGCCTGAAACTAAATGGGCAGTGCCTGATGGCTCTTATCTTTGTGACAGGTTTCTTTAGAGTCCTATGCTGACACCGGCAAGGGGAAGTTTTTAAAAATTAGGAAACCTGGTTGCTAACCCTCACTCCTTTCCACATGTCTCCTCAGAGGTCACCAGCAGGATCTACCATTTTCTCTGCTGGCCTCAGGTGCCTCATGGCGCTTTCCTTTGGGCTCTGGATGTCCTATGACCTGTCCTCCAGGGGCACTGGGATGCCTGTCTTCCACCTCAAGGAGGTGGGCTCTGCTGGTCCTCCCCTCTCTTCCTGGGGCCCACAGCTGATCAATTGTGGTCTAAAACTATTAAATGTGAAAAACCCAGAAGTCACAAGTCCACATTGCAGACTGTTCTTGCAGAGGACACAAAGCTGTTTCTCTCCCTCCAGGTTTGTTAAAAAGCCCATGGGTGGGTGAACTCTTCTGCCTTCTGGCTCCTAAGAAGGTGTATAAAACACACTGCAGGAACGTAGAGAAGTGTGACTAGTTAAGTGAGACTGCAACAGCCAGTCCAGAAGTTTGTGAAGCAGAGTATACAGCATCGTTCTGAGCTGTTAGAAAAAATAACATGACCAGAGCAACGCACATTGATAAACAGAGAAAAGCCCATAGCAAAGTTCTCACAGGGCGATTGCTTGGCCACATTAGGATGTTTGTGAGTTCATTTCTTATCCCTTGGACTCTTGCATATTGGATGAGATTAATATGCTTTATTTTAAAAGCCAGAAAATATTTATTTTACAATTATTAACTCTGTATTCTGTCTCCAGGATACAGCAGAACCCTGCCCCTATATCCAGTTTCTTTTTCTCTGTTTTCAGTTACAATGGACCCTTGAGTTACGACTGGCCTGATATACAAACAACTTGAGTTATGACTGGAATTTTAGTTTTAACATATGACCAAAGTCTTGTGTTATGACCTGAATGCTGGCCACTTGTGCTTCTAGATGGTCTCAGATACATTAACCCCAAAAGAGTTCTGGAAGGAATGTTAGTTACAACATCCTTTCTTGTGTGGGGTTGATTGAGAAATCCTGGTCCAGTGTCTCTCTAAAGACACTGAGATCTGCCTGTGTACAGGAGAGAGACTTTGAAGTTGTGTAGAGGCGCCTGAGCTTTCAATCGACAACCTGAGTTATTACCAGTCCTCAGGAAAAAATTGAGTTCATAAGTCAAGGGTCCACTCTATCTGATCAATTGTGGTCTAAAACTATTAAATGTGAAAAACCCAGAAGTCACAAGTCCACACTGCAGACTGTTCTGAGCAGCCTGGTGACCTCTCACAGTGTCCTGCTCTGTCCTACCTGACCCAGGAATAGTCACCTGTCCAGTGTATCCACCCTGTGTACCCTCCCATAGTCACTTGACAGCCCAAGGCTATTAGACAGACTGGCATGGTGTCATAGTGCTCATGTTCAAGTCACCTTCATTTTCCTCAGTGATGGCCCCAAATCACAAGGAGTAGTGAGGCAAGGGGATCTTAGTTACTTTTTGAGTTGGTAAGACAAAATACCCAACACTCAAAATTAAAGGAAGAAAGGTTATTTAGCTCACAGTTTGTAGAGGTTTCACATGCAGTGGCTCCAAGCAGGTGGCAAGGCAGAGAGGCATTGCAGAGGAGAAACAGTTCATGGTAGTCAGAAGACAGCAAAAGCAAGCAAGCAACTGACAGTAGCAGTTTCTTTTATGTTCTTTTCCTTTTATATTCTATGTAGGCTACCAGGATTAGGGCGTTACCAAACCAAACAATGGACTGATTTAGTAATCACACACCCTAAATCCCAGCATCACACACCCTATCTATATCCAGCCACCTCTGAAAAAGCCCCACCTATAACTGCTTGAGGTCTGGGGGGACATGGAGACACAAGTCATAACAAGACCCCAGAACTGAAGGCTTGGGAGGATTAATCCATGCCTCGGCATGAGTACTTCTCTGAACAATAACTCACTTTTGTGCCACGCTTCTTGGAGCTTAAACACTCTCTTGCAGATTTCTTTCATGATCTCATTGGGGAGAGGGGAGGGTTTTCACCAGACTGCAAACACTGTACTCCAACACCTCTGAGGCTTGCTCTTTCCCTTGGCCTGTCCTGCAGCGCCCTTCATCTTCTTCTTACCCTGTACTTGCATGCCCAGCACAACTCCATCTGAGGTACAGATGATGTGCAGTCCCTGACTCTAGCCTCTCCTGGCCCCACCTTGCCCATGATGACACAGTGGGCCTTGGAGATGCTCTCTTTGTGGATTCTAGTTTGCAGCTTTAAAAGGAAGTAGAGCCCACTCTGGTTGACAAGTGGGTACCTGTCGCTTCTCCCAGGATGGGCCTTGGAGTACTGTTGTGCTAGCCTTCCCAGTGTCTGTCTGCTCTCTCCTGTGGGTAGTGGAAAGAGAGATGCTGGGTGTAGGGACCCCAGTCTGGGGACTTCAGACCATAGCTGGGCACATCTCCTCCCCTGGCTGTTGGCTACTGATGCATTTGTGTGGCCAAGTTGAGGTTCCATCACCAATGTCATTTTTGTCCTTGTGTCCTGAGAGTGGCAGATGATGTCACTGCGGTCTCTCACTTGCAGCCACTCTGAGGAGCTCAGCTGCTTCTGTGAGCTGGGGATGGGTGCTTGTCTGCTGGTCCTGTACACACCATATGGAACGATTTGCCCTAACATACTCAGAGAAAAGAGCATCCAGAGATGCACGTCAGATAAGCTGATTCTTTTGTTCTATTAGTGCTTATTATTTATACAGACTTCATTTTGGTGCATTTGCACATGTATAAAGCATACTTTGATCATGTCCACCCCATCATCCCCTTTCTTTCCCTCTCCCTCCCCCTTTTCCCTTCCTCTTTTTAATAGTCCACCTTCAACTTGCGTGCCATTTCTCCCTTTTTTAGGTCCCATGTATGAAAGAAAACATGTATACTTGTCTTTCTGAGCTCCAGTTCCTTCCATTTTCCTGCAAGTGATAGGAGCCATTCTTTTTCATGGCTGACTAATACTCCATTGTGTAGATAGGCCACAATTCCTTCATCTGTTCCTAGTTAGTGGGTATCTAGTTTTGCTTTTGTGAGTTGGCTCAGAGAATTCAGTTCTATTATTCACATTTTCCTCTCATCATCATGGTCATGCAGTTGCATTGCCCCATAGTTGGTCATCTGCATCATAGGTTCTGGTGATATCTGAGGATAAAGAGGCCCAGAAGACCAGCCAAAAAGTCTCTGTGCCTAGTGGGTGGGGGCTGATAGCTGGGCCCTGTTGTGCCCTACCTCCAGGTAGATCCAGTCACATGCCACAGTTGTCTTCAGTTGCCTGGGGTTTGGCAAGGATGGCGGGAGCTGGTGGACACAGGGACACAGAATTCAGTCCTACACTGCAGCACTGCACTTTCCCTTTCTGTTCTCTGCCCACTCAGCATGACTTGGCAGAGAACTGGTCAGCCCCAGGGCCCTTTCTACAGCATCTGAGCCACCCCACAGAACTCAAGAACTATCCCCTGGCAGCATGTGTGTGTGTGTGTGTGGGGGGAGTGGAGGCTGTCAGTCCCACTTCTGCTTTCTCCAGGAAGCGGAGCAGAGGCCCTGTGAGGTGATTCATAGTGAAACGAGGCTGCTGGGTGGCTGGGCCCTTCCCAAGCCCCCGGGGCTGCCTGGAGATGGAGGCGCCCACACCAGTGGACACCTACAGGCTCTGACCCCTCCCAGGTAGGCCACCATGCTCCTGCTGACCCTGACCATAGTAGGCATGGGCCAGGCTCTCAGGGTGTCAGGGCTGGACCTCGGCCAAGCCTGGAAGCCAGCATGGCCCGAGTGACCTCCAGTGGCAGGTCTGGGCTCCTGGATGTGGGAGGAGCAGCCGGGAGGCTGTGCGGAGCGGGTACCTGTGGGATCAGGGCCCTTTGGCCCCTGTGTGGGCTGAGGGCTGTGGCTCTGGGGTCCCCTGAGCCACCGTGGGTTTCCCCTCCAGTCCGCATCTCCTGCCACAGGCCAAGTCCTCTCTGCTGGGGAGCATGACCCTGCCCAGCCGGGAAAGGGAGAGTCTCACCCTCCAGGCCCCGTGTGGGCCTCTGAGGAGCGCAGAGCTGCGATCCGTTCTGCTCCTCTGGGCTGCACTTCCTTCATCTGAGTCACGTCAGACCTTTGAAAGCCAGCGTTTCTCGGAAAACAGGGCCACCTGGCTCCTTCAGGACCGGCCCTTCTCTTCTCCCAGCCCTGCTGACCTAACCTTTGTCCCACCTCACTGAAGTGATAAATAAGGATTTTGTGTGTCAACTTTCCCTTTTCCTTTTGGTTTTTTGAGATAAGGCCTCACTCTATAGCACAGGCTGAATTTGAACTCTCTGTGTAGCCCACGTTGGCCTTGAACTCCTAATGATCATCCTCCCCAGTCCCTGGGGTGCTGGGATTACAGGTGTGCGCCACACATGCAGTTTAAACATTCAATTTTAATGTGATTGTCTGCATTCCCATCCATCTGATTAGTCAACAAATATTTGTAGAGAGGCTGCTGGCTGCCAGGAACTGGCGGAAGGCTGGGCCAGTGGATGGGCTGTATGGGCTCTGAGCCCTGACTGATTTGGGAGAGAGGGGAAGATAGGAGGTGGAGGAGGCTCCATTCTCCCCAGGATGGCTGAGTGAAGCTCTTAGCCAAGGTCTGGAGGAGGTGGAGGCCTGGTGGACAGCAGTAAGGTAGCACCAAGTGAAGGGCACAGTAGGGATCCTGATGGAAAGGTCAGGGGTGGGGTCAGATCAGGGCCGGCTTTCTTGTCTGTCCACCCTGAGGACCTGGGGAGATTTCCCACTTTAAGTAGATAGAAAAGGCAATTCAGAAAAAGTGGGTAGCGTAGAAGGATAAAACCCATACTGCCCTGTGAGCCAATGCCTTTCTCTTCATTCGAGACCCTTGTCATCTTTGAGGCCTTTGGTGAATCTGTCCCCCCACTACACACAACTGCTACCCCCCATCTGGATTTATTGTTTCCGTGCTTTATTTCTTTCTGGCTTTACCCCATACATTTAAATTCTTTAGTGGATGTGACCTGGTTTTGTGCATTCCTGAACTTTATAAACACATGTGGCTCTAAGTGACGTTTCTGAAATTCCTTTGTGTTGTTGCACTTGCCTCTAATACATTCATGGTAACTACTGTATAGTATTCTGTTACATGAACATTCCTAAATGTGTTTCTTAGATATTGCTGATGGACCTTTAAGTACTGCTAGGGTTTAATTTCAATTCTAAGTGTTGCCGCTAGGGTTATTCTTGTGTGTGTATCTAGGGAAGCATGCAAGTCTTTCTCTAGCGCATGCACCCTAGCAAGGGATTCAGTGAGTCATGAGGGAAACTTATCTTCACCCTCAGTGGATATGCTGCGTTGTTTCCCAAGGTGATTAGGAATTGTTAGGATTAGGCCTTAGGCATTGTTCTGGACCCTACACAGATACTCACATCTGCAGATGTTCAAACCACATATATAAAGTGAGACGTATTTGCATAGAAACTTCACACATCCTCCTATGTACTTTAAGGCATCTCCAGATCATATACAGTAGCCAAGGGTTGACTGCAAACATGCAGAGCCTGCAAGCGTGGAAGACCAACCATACACCTGTCAGCAACCCATTAGTAACACACTAACGTTTCTGTCACCTCACACCTTCACCACCATGGACGCTATTGAGTATTTTTACATGTGTAATGGCCAGTTTAGATCCCTTTCCTGTTCCAATTTCTTGACTTTTTGTCTTTGGGGTTATCTGTCCTTTATCCTATTGATTTGCTACTGTTCAAACCATGTTGGGGCATTAATATATTTTTGCAATTATTTTTCTCTTGTGCCTTACTTCCTTGTGTTGTGATTTCTATTAATGACTGAGTTGATTCATTTCCAACAAGTTTGATTTGTCTACATGTTCATTTATGGTAACACTTGTCAGTTACTAACTATTATTCATACTCTGAGGTCATAAAATTATTTTCAAAACTTTAAAAAATTTTGACTTGTACTTTTCAGTCTTATGTCCACCTGGAAATGACTTTTCTGTATGGTGTGAGGTAGGGGATAATATATACTTACTAAGATTTTGTTTTCCTCATATGGATGTCCAAGAGTGTTTGCTCCATTTGTTTAAAAGGACATTTGTTTTAGCTGCTGAACTACAGCATCTTTATTGTAAGTCAAGTCTTCTTTCTGGGCTGTTTTACAATTTGTCTGTTTTTTACCAATGTTAAATAATATTACTTATTATAAATTTATAAAGAATTTTGATATCTAGGAAGATTCTCCCAATGTTTTTTCTTGTATAATTCTTCCTTGACTACTTTTATTAATTTCTTTCCTTCAAGCTTAGAAATTCAACAGATATGTTCATATTTGATTAGAAATATAATTTGGGGAGAACTAATATCTTTATGAAAATGAGCCTTTTGATGGTGGGGTGGTGCAGGCTTATAATCTCAACACTCTGCATCCCAAGTTTAAGCCTACCCTGGATAACTTGGTGAGATCCTATTAAAATAAGGGCTGTGGATGTAGTTCAACACATGCGCTGGGCTCAATCCCAAGTACCACAGAAAAGAAAAAAAAAAGTGTTCTAATTCATGAATATGATTATTTTAATAAAATGTTATAATTTTTTATGGAAATGGTACCTGATTTTTTTAGATCGATTCTTAGGTGGTTTACATTTTATATTATATCAATGTTATTCAAACTTGTTTTTACTGTTACTGATGAGGACTTGCATTTCAAAGAAGACTCATCTGGTTTTATGTACAGAGTAGGTTTCAGGGAAGCAGAGGAAAAGGAAGGCTATTGTCGAATACGCTTGAGCGACAATCAGGCCGGGTGGTGATGGTTCCCCCAGAGCGACAGCATAGAGATAACAGGATGGTCAGAACTCTGGTCAGACTGGAGATACTTTCCTGAGGGTGAGATCTGATAATGCTGTAGATGTACAGTGTGGGAGAAGGGGAAGATGAGAAGTAACTCTAAAGCAGCAGGAGGAATGGGACTGCTCTTTACCGCACTGGGTCAAGGGCAGTAGATGAGATTGGGAAAGTGGGGGCTGTTTGGGAATATGAGTCTGAGCCTAGGGAGGTGGGGATGCCTATTAGACATCGAACGGAGAAATGCAGTGTTGGCCTCTCCCCTCCCCCAGGCCCTGTGACAGCTTGGCTACCTGGGGGTAGAGAGGAAGAACCCTTGCTGGGAGGAAAAGAGCTCCTTGGCCACACCTTGGGCTAGCTCTTGCTTAATTTATGGTTAGGGCCCTGCATCTGCTGTCTCCCTTCAAGCACTGCCAACCATGTTAAACCAGAGGGGTCTGCAGGAATCTGCCTGAGCCTGTGGCTGGGGGTCCTTTGGGAAGCGCTTGGCCACATCAAAAGTGTAAGTCTCAAGGTTGAGACCTGTGAGGTCCCATGTGGAAGCTGCACACTGTACTAGAAATGTGGCCAGTCTGAGTTGAGGTGTCCTGTGCATTTAAGATGCACTCCAGATCTCAAAGAAGTTACAGACTAATGCCATATTTTTCTTAACACTTAATAATGTTGGGGACATTTCCCACGAAGGGACCCAGTTTTGAGATAAGGGTCAACCAGGCCTACATGGCCAGAATCACCTACCCTGCCAACCACACAAACCCCTAACCCCTGCTTTGGTTCCCCTTTTCTGTAAAACCCCAAGATTTCTTTTGGGTCTCGGAAGGCAGATCTTAAATTTCTTCATCCACCCTTCCCTGCCCAGCTGATTAAAGCTCATTTCCTGTCCTTCATCACTGCCCATCTCTTTGAGGCACTTTGGGACAGGAGCAAGCCTGGTCTGTGGGACCCCTGATCAGGGACTTTCTGGCCTGAAACACCAGGAAGAGAACTTACTCAGAGCAGAAGAGGGACCACATAAGGAAGAGTAGCACGCGTGCAGTGGGGCTGGGGGAGATCGATTTAGGAATGACACCACGTGAACTTGGGCTCTGCCTCACCCCACAGCTACTCCTACCTAGCTTCTCCTTGCCTGTGCCCCACTGGTCCCCAGAGAGGCCCCTTGAGAATTACCAAGAGGGTCATGAATGGGTGCAGTCGTGGGAGGGCCGGGAGTATGTAGAGTTTATTTGGCCCATGCCTACTGGGGTGGGGTGGGAAATTAGGCGAGGAAAGTGTTTGGTCATAGTCTCCAGGGCAGGAGTCCTGTGAAGACAGCCCAATGGGTAGAAGGAGAGGAGGCTTCAGAGTCCAAAACCTGGCATTTGACTTTGATTTTGGTGCTTGTTAGCATTTGAATTCAGGTAAATTACTTGCTTTCTCTGCACCTGGGTTTCTCGGAGTCTTGCTTTGCCCATCAACTGAATGGGACTGGTGCGACCAGGGACCTTGTGTGTGTTGGTGATGGTCGCTCTTACTCCTGTGCTGGTAACTCAGGTGATAACTCATGCCCTCCTGGTGGAGCCCAAGCTGCTGAGTGGTTTCAGCATTGGAGAGGCTGCTGATGAGGGCTGAGCTCTTGTTAATGAACTGTTCCCAGCTGTGCCACTGAGGCCTTCAGTGCCAACATCTACACCACTGCTGAGCTAAGAGTCTCCTGCAGGGGAACTGCTCCCTGGGCGTTTTCTGCCATGTGGAACTCAGGAACCAAATGCAGATATAAAACCAGCCCCTCCTACAGGCCACTGGGCGTTCCCATACCCCGAACCCGCAGAGGTGTGCGC